TTACATGCAGCAGCAAAGAAAAACACAGCTGTAAGTATTCAAAGGACTGCAGCATTAGAACAGGTTGTGCTACTCATAAATGAAGGTATATACAATACTTACTGAAATTGCAAACCTTTTAAAACAAGCATTTCCAACTAGATACATTGCCAGAAGGTAAAAAAAAAAAAATAACAAAACAATTCAAAATACTTGGCCACACATTTGTTTCGCAATTTATTGGAAAGAACTGAAACATAACATTTACTGTATAATTTACCTTTATTGGAGGTCAGGGGGAGGAATATCAACTTTTCTGCTGAAGTCTACAATGTATTTTAATTTAGAAAATTACACCTTCAGCCAAGTTACAAATAAACCATATTGTAGAACAAACAGTGCCATTATACACTGTCAGCCCAGTTAAAGTGCCCATAATTCCTTTCAGCAACAAGAATGTCAACAGTGAAGTATTACTTGTGGACTTAAAAAAGACAGAAAAATGCATGCCCAGAAACATAAAAAGCATTTTCTTTACATTGCTTAAATTAAAAGAAATCCAGGTGACAGAAGAAATTATAGGAAAAATATTTAAGAGTGATACTTATGTGTCTTTGGGAAAATCACTTTATAAGCACAGCAAATTTACTATAATGTCAAGCAGACTGAATATCTCCCCAAATCTGAGTACTTGCCAAAAAGCAAGCAGTTGACTCCTGAAAGTTCACTTTAACAAGACCAAACCCCAAGAGGCCTAAGCTCAGGGGATAACATCCCACTATCCCTCCATCACCTTACAGCCAAAAGTTGCAGTAACAGAGATGCAGGAAATCCACCTCTAATTCCAGTCAGAAGCGAGGTGGCTGATTTGATGTTGGAGTCTAGCTATTCTACACAGCTGCTAAACAATCTTAGATTAAGAAGGTCCCTGAATAAAAGCCTGTGTCTCAGAGGAAACAGACTCTGCTGTACTGCCAAGCTTCATTCACAGGTCTCCTGGGCACACATTTTTAAATATTAGGAGACTAAATTTATGAGCAGTGACCAAATTCCCATTGTACATTTTCAGGCAGTTATGCACCATGCAGTGTGAAGAACCAGTCTTTTGCAGTTTCACATGCCTAAACATTTCCAAGATTTTTTGCTCATTCCCATTTCTAATGCCAGAATTTCCTGAAGAAAAGCATTTTAACATGTGAAGATTTCACCATGTTTCAATAATGGGAGTGATCCAAGGGCATAAGAGGCCAATGACAGGAGGCAGATGACAGGTAATAGAAAGTATGTAGGTGAGGTCTAGGGGCAATGAAATGTAACAGCATATGGGAAAGTGAAGAAGCTGACCTTGGTTGCAAATGGAGGGGATACCCAGGGACCACTTTATCTTCAGGCAGTTGAAAAGCTAAAAAAGCAACTCTGTCTGTTAGGCATGTGTTTTACTACAAAATGAAACACTGATGACTCAATTCTACATGCCTGGATCTTTGTGCTTGTTTCAAGTCTGAGGACATGAAAATATGTAATCATGTTTAAAAGCTGCAACCAACTAAAGAAGAGCCAAGTCAATGGTTAAAGTTGATGGAGAGCCTCTGGTTTCTAAAAGGAGAATATTTTTTGAATAGCCAATATGAGATAGCAAAGAAATAACTCTGGAATAACTAGAACTTGATCAGTATCTCCCTTTTGAGTTAGGAACCAAACAATATCTTTTAAGAGGCATGAAAGGATTTCTACTCAGCTAAATTGCTAAAGCTTGCAGCAAACAAAGAGATTCTTGCCTTCTATTGCCTTAGACCCAGCAAATCCTCTGGAAGTAGAACTTTCCTGTTGAGGTCTGCAATATTAATTAATATGTTGCACTTAGCTCTTGCGGGCAGGGTTGTTTTTCCTGGTGACATATTCAGACTCTCTTCATTGTTAGTATTTAAAGAGATGAGGACACCACAACTTGTTTTATTTTCAGTGGAATATAAAACCTAATCTAATCTAATCCAATCCACAAAGACTTAAGGAGGGGCAAGAAGGGATATCTTACTAACATATCAGCAAGAATTTGCTTGGAGTCTATAATCTCTCCCAGCTTTGAGCTTCCTCAGACATACTGTAGAGAAAGGAACCAATCAAGAAATGAAAATATTAAGGGGAAGATGACTCCAGAACCCAAGGAGACAATATACCTTAGAAAAAACTCAGAAAAGGAAGAATAGTGATAATCCTCAATCACAGAGTGTGAACATGGTTCATATATTGGAAACCCTCTTACAGAGCATAAAGATCAGGTCTTCATTGGAATGTCACACAGAGGGAAAAGAAAACCCTGAGAAAAGGCAGTAGGAGATGAGAGGGGATTTTCACCATTTTTTGTCTTAGTCCAGCCTAATATTACTTTCAACACCAGCAAGCAAAGCTTGAGGCTGAGCCCTCCAAAATCATATGGGTTTTCATTGCTACAAATAAATTAAACCATAATGTTCGGGCACCTGGACTCCCTTGGACAGCACAGAGGCAGAGCAAGAACAGTGGAAGCAACAAGAGAAAAGAAGGAATAATGAAGCAGGAGAGAAAGAAAGAAGTAAAAACCCTGAGAAGCACCTGGAAGCTTTTTCAGCCTCCAACCTGAAGGAGGAGGGCCTAATGCCACACATCTATTAGCAACAGTGACAAACCTGTGCCTCAGCACTGCCACAGCAGCATCTGCACTTACAGGTGCCCTGCAGTGACCACCTGGCACAGTCCATGTTTAGCCTGTCTGGAACACAGAGAACGTGAAAGAAAAACAAAATCATTGAAAAAATAATTACTTTTATAATCATTACAAGCAAATTCTCCATCTTCTGCACTATGAATAAGGCTGCAGACAGGTTCTTAAAGGTGAAAAAGGCAACTTGTAACACAATCTCCAAACTTTCAGATTCATTGTTGATTAAATACTTTTTGTCACTTCAGACTTTATTCCTAAACAACTATATTAAAAATAAGATAATTACAAAATATAATATTGCACATCAGAAGCTATTTTTCCACAGTTTCCTATCCAAAATAGACTTAAATTGACAGAGGATACATTATTACTAGTACTCAATTACAATGTAATGCTTTTATAATATAAGGTTACATTAGGTTCCCTTAACTCAGGGAAGCACTTAAATCCATTCTTGTTTTCAGGAAAAGGAAAAGTCTTCCTGACTCAGAGACTCCAAAGCAGAAGTATGACATATCACAGAGCTACTATTTGGGCATACAGAGAAGAATTGATTGGTTTGTTTCACCAATTCTTGAACTCCACAGCAAGTCTTATTCCAGTAAGTATTAGAAATAAGCTAATTCAATTTAAAGTGCAATTCTCCTTTAAGAGTCAAGTGATCTCTACTTTTATACATAATTCTTGCAGAAAAACAGTCACAAGATGAAACAGAAACGTGATGACAGCACCCTACACTTTTTGGTTATTCAGCAAGTTCACACAAAATATTAGCACTCACCAAAAAATAATATTCTGGTTTTATATAGTTGTGAAAATGTTCCACTGATTCTGAAATGCTTCTGACATTTCTCACTATGAAATACATAGGCAGAGCAGCAGCTCTCCAAGTGTAAAACACCTTCCTTCATTTCTACAGGCTGTGTATTCAGTGCCAACACCCCCGACATTCTAACATCAATATTATTTGCTAGCACATAGAACTTGAGGATAAAGAATTATAAAATGGAAAACTCAAGTGCTTTTTGAATTTAATTAATTAATCAAATGTTCTGAGATTCAAAAGCTGGTCTAGGTCAAGGCCCCTCTCTGCGCTGTAATTTTCCCCCACAGAATTTCTTTAAAACTGCATCCAATAAAAATATTAAAAACCACATGCAATAGAGCATCTGACGCTTCCCCTGGGAGACCTTTCCACAGCCAACAAGTTGTTTTTCCTCAAGTTGGATTTTCATTTAATTTCATCCCATTGCATATTCTCATGGAAGCAAGGAGAAAAGGTCATAGTGAGGGCAAGAGATGGAAAAACCCAACCAACTAAACAAAACAATTGCTAAACTACACTGAAAAAGTGTGATGATGAAAGGGAAACTATGAAGGCAAGGGTTAATTTTAGTCACAATTTCCAAGCTTTTTCTCCTCCACCAGCATGGAAAAGTCACAGATGCACATGGATGTCTCCAAGAGGGAAAAAATTCAATATGGAAAATTAACTGAGTTAACATTTCATAATTATGATTTTGGGAAAAGAAGCAAAGTGCCCTTAGAACTGCTTAACTTCCTACTGCCCAGAGGAGGAAGAAAACCTCTTTGAAACTTGTTATTATTTGAATCTTGAAAAGGTGTCAGCCATATCTTCATTTTCTAAAAACAAATGAAACCTACATAGTACACAATACCACCTTCTTGTAACAGGAACATTGGACCATCTATTACCCTGAACAACCAATGAAAGATGTCGCCAAAGGAGATTTCATAAAACATCAGATTTACTCAATAAGGGTTTGTATCCCCTCACAACCTAATAAATACAGTATCTGGCTGTTTATTTAATATATCCTACAGCTCAACAATTTATTTACTTTTCATTCTTCCTTCTCTGTGGCTAGAAGGAATTAGTGAAAAGACTCTTTAAAGAATTAGTGCAAGACGTGTATGCAGACAGCTATTTTGAAAACATTACAAACACAAAACTCCTGGAGGATATCATACAAAAAGGATGAAAGAAGATTCACCACTAGTGTGAGTCACAGAAGCAAAATTTGTAAAAGATGTAAAAGCCCTAATAAGTAATTAAAGAAAAAGAATAGACACCCTCCAGAATTTATCCAGTCCCCGCTGCTTTCAACAGAGAGAAAGCAAGTAACATCATAGGAGGTGGATGTGAATGTGATCTCTGTCCTTCAGAATCTCAGAATCAAAAAAAAAGGCATGGCAATAGCCACCAACAGCTACACATTAAATTCCCAATTCATTTTGAAAAGAAAACATAAATGATTTGTTAATCAATAAAAAGAAGACAAAATGAGCTTGAAAGATTTCATGTGTCCTCATTAACAACTTCCTTTCGGCGCTGGGCCCGGAAATGGCGCTCGATGTTGATTGTCACTTCCCTCTGCAGATTCCTGCTGTTGGTTTTCCCAGCTGTTCTGATCCAGGGGTGCTGAAGTACCTGACGTGCTGTGTAGCGCTTCTGGGGATCCACTATCAACAGCCTGGTGATGAGGTCTTTTGCTGCTATTATGGAAGAAAGCAAAGGAGAGAGGGGTGAAGCACGGTGGTGTGCAACATGCTACAGGATGTGCAATCCTGTGCAATGTGCTCTAGCACGACCCTGCTTGAGCAGGGTGTTTGAAACACATCACCCACTGTGGTCACTTCAACCCTTACCATTCTGTGATGGTGACAGTTATATCCACACAAAATGTCCTTCTTGCTTTTTTCATTAGTTTTACCATGGTTTTTGTAACTATCCCCAGGAGCTATTCTAAAAACTGCAATTAGAGTTAGTGACAGAAAATATTAAATCTCCATGACTGATGTCATTCTCCCCTTCAGACACAGAGGAGAAAGTGAAGGGAATTTAATCTCAAAAGTGCGCTGGAGGCCTCTGGCTGAGTGTTCACATTCACAGGAATGAGCCCTGGCTATCTCATCTATTATAAGGCATAAATGTTGTAAAATGCTGTGGAACGAGTCCTTTAAAAGACTGTACAGGGATTAAAGGAGTTCTAGGGTTTCTGATTTTGAAGAGTGCACAAAAGACACTGTACTAGCCTGTGAGAAAGAAAAAACTACTATGTGCAGACTCCACTGTCAATAGGAAATTGACACTGCGTTCTCCAGGACAAGGGTTTCATTCCCAGCTTTTGAGATTTTTTTTATAACATCCTTACAATCTAACATAGCCCTTGAGATTATTTTGACACCTTTTTCTGCAGAGACACATACACAAGATGAGGAAAATCCTTGCTTTTGCTTACAGAGGGAGGAATTGAGGACTCCATTAAAGGATGCTGAACTAATATGCAGAAACACAGGCATTGATATACCAGAGTACTAAATTCACATTTAAAGCACAGATTCACACAAGAGAGACCCATAAAAACACCCCAAGTTGATGAAGCTCACTTCCCTGAAAAAAGGGAAGAAGACTGCCACTTCTCAGATCTACTGTAAGTGCAGAATCTTACCTGCAGAAATATTGTCCCAGTAAGGGGATAGGAACTCGTAGTGACCCAGCTGTATGATCTGAAACAGCTCCTCCTGATCACGGTCCTGACTGCGGAAAGGGGGAAAACCGCAGAGCAGGATGTAAAGGATCACACCAGCTGCCCACATGTCTACTTCGAGGCCATAGCCTAAGGAAGAAGGGACAAACCATGTCCTGTTTCAGAAAGAAAACTCACAACTGCAAGGGAACTGTTTCTTTGAAATAGAATGAAAAGTCAACACAGAATCTCTGCTCAGTTCCTCAAAAAGAAGAGGTGAGCAAAAGAATGAGTGGCTGGTACGCCACGCTTACAAACTGCCCATTATTAGCTACAGCTCTCACAGAGTCTCTCTTTTCCACAACATGTTTCACAAACACTGTCTCACAAGGCCAGTGTCAACTGGAGACTAATTGAGAAAACAGGGCACGTATTTCTAAAATAGTCACCCTCAGATTCCCTTCAAAAAAGAACTAAGAGTGCCAAGTTTCCATTGAAATTGGATATAACTGGAGATGTGCAACCCAGCTCCACAGAACAAAAGCCAGAAATAGATTTGTTTGAGTCACCAACAAAACTGACTTCTTTCCAGATCTGAATCTTTTTGGAGATGAAATCTTCAAAATTCCTTGGGAAGCAAAACATGTTTTGAAATGTTAAATAGTTTTAACATACATGTTCACAATGACTTGGCATCATCAGGGGATTTGGAAAGTTGTTTGGATTACAGTTATGAAATGGGGCTGGCTACTCTTAGGTTATAACATGAACTTTTGGTCATTTTCCCCCCTTCAGCTATTATTATCTATGATATTTTATGGCTTATCTGCTTGGAAGTGAGTGATATATTAGCACAGACACTAATAATGCAAATATAACTGATGTCATGCTCATGTTTGTTAAAAACTAAGAAGTTTCCTTTCCCAAATTACACTGCTAGCCAACCTCCTACCCTGAAAAGATATTTCAGTAGGTTGAAACATTCTGGACTACTTCCATTATTAGAAAGTTCAGCATAATTGAAAGATTTATGACAAATTAAAAATATATACACTCACCCTTCTCAGCAAGTATTTCAGGAGCAACATACGTTGGTGTTCCACAGACAGTAAATATGGGTTTTGTAACCTGCTTAGCAAGGCCGAAATCTGCCAGTTTCAGTGTAGTAGATTTATCTGCATTGTGCTGAACCTATATCCAAACAAAATACATAGATATGTTTAGTCCAGATGCATTTTAAAACCGCAAAATATAAAGGAAGCAGAAAATTAAACAGGAGGGAGTTCTAATAATAGTATTAATAATGGAAACAGTCTTCAGTACATGGCTCTTTTCCCCCCCACACTAAGAGGGTTCATTTATTTAAGAGGATAAGTATTTATTTAAGAGGATAAGCAATTATGGAAAAAAGATACTTTGCTCTACAAACTCTGTCACACTGCAATTTCCAAGAAATTAATAGAAGGAACACAAAAAATAATTGAGAGTCAATTTAATACTATTATTTCCTCTTGAGAAAATAAACTGTTCTTTTTCCCTGGGAAAGCAAAGAAGAATGCTGTGGACTTAAATGCAATGAGCCCATGTAAACTGCTGATTTTTTTTTTAGCCCCAGAGAGCAACTAAGTACCACACAACTGCTCAGTCACTCATCCCCCATCTGCCCACAGTGGGATGGGAAGGAGAACCCAAAAAACAGTGGGTTAAGATAAGAACAATTCAATAATTGAAATTATTAAAGTATGATAATAATAATAACAGTAGGAATGGTTACAACTATAACGAGAAGGGGGACAGGGAGAGTGAGAGCAAGAGCAAGAGAAAGAAATAAAACCCAGGAGAAAAACAAGTGCTGCACAATACAATTGCTCACAGCCCACTGACCCCCAGCTCAGCCTGTCCCCCAGCACAGACCAGCAGCTCCTGGCCAACTCTCCTCACTTTATTTACTGAGCATAATGTTCCATGGCATGCAATATGCTTTTGGGTCAGCTGCCCTGGCCATGTTCCCTCCCAACTTTTGGTACACCTGTAACCTGGCAGAGAATGTGACACTGAGAATTCCTTGACCTAGGATAAGCAGTGCTGAGCAACAACCAAAACATCAGTGTGTTATTAACATTATTCTCATACTAAATCCAAAGTACAGCACTGTACCAGCAAAAACCAAGACACATGGAAAGTGTATCTCCATCATGCTGGTCTAACAACAAAATACAAACCAACAAAAGCTTTATGTTCTTTCCAAATTACTCTGCTACTCTACCTGCTGCCCTGAAACTAGATTATTAATGGTCACCACACAGCAAGAGTTATAGAAATAGTTTTGTGCAGAATGACCTTCTAATTGGGCCTTTTCAGCAGTTCTCATCTCCTACATCCACCTGGCAAATAGTCAAAACACCTTCTCCAATTCTAATTTTGTATGCACTGGTCTTTAGCGTTACTTTATAATGCAGTTAATGAAGGGTTATTTTAAGAAACGAAATGTTAATGACATAGTGGGATTGAGCACACCCTCAGCAAGCTGGCAAGCAACACCAGGCTGAGTGATGAGTTTGACATGTCTGGAGGATGGGATGTCATCCAGAGGCACCTGAACAAGCTCAAGAAGGTTGAGCCTTGTGAGGTTCAACAAGGACAAGTGCAGGGTCCTACACCTGAGCTGGAGCAATCCCTGGTATCAATACAGACTGGGTTATTGATTGAGAGCAGCCCTGTGAACAGCAATTTGGAGTAGCTGGTGGATGAAAAACTGGAATGAGCTGGCAATGTGCAGTTGCAGTCCAGAACACCAACGATATCCTGGGCTGCATCCAAAGCAGCATGGCCAGCAGGGCAAGGGAGGTGATTCTGCCTCTCTGCTCTGCTGAGACCTCACCTGCAGTGCTGCATCAGCTCTGGGGTCCCAGCATAGGAAGGACATGGACCTGTTGGAGTGAGTCCGGGGGAGGGTCAGGGAAGAAGGATGGAGCACCTCTCCTGTGAGGAAAGGCTGCAAGAGTTGTGGTTGTTCAGCCTGAAGAAAAGAAGGTTCCAGACAGGCCTTTCAATAATTAAAGTAAGATGGGGACAGGCTTTTTAGCAGGGCCTGCAGCAATAAGACAAGGGGCAGTAACTTTAAACTGAAGGAGAGTAGATTCAGACTAGACACTAAAAAGAAATATTTTAGGATGAAGATAGTAAAACACCGGAACAGGTTGCCCACAGAGGTGGTAGATACTCTATCCCTGGGAACATTCAAGTCAGGCTGGACAGGGCTCTGAGCAACCTGGTCTAGTTGAGACGTCCCTGCTCATTACAAGGGCTTGGGCCAGATGACCTTTAAAGGTCTCTTCCAACTCAAATCATTCCAGGATTCCATATTCAAAGGTGAAGTAATAAGCAATGCAGCAGTATAATTATATAAATCAGTATGCTTAATACTAGTGACTGACACTCAAATATTCTTTGAGAGGTAAAAAAAAGTAATTAATTTCCTTTAAATGAAAAACTGTTTGTCCCTGGAACTATGGGGAGCAGATCAACAGCTAAAATGTCGACAAAAAGGCCAAGTAAACCTGGAGGTGGTTTTGAATGGACAAACTGGAATATAATGTGACAGGTATACTCTGTGCTTTAATTCCTCATAGTTCATCATCATGGCTTAAGAAAGCCAAGAATTCAGGATGGTCTCTATTACCAGATAACTAAAGGCAAAGATGTGACAACATTTGCTCTTATACATTACAATTGACTAATACCCATTGATCATCTTTATGGAAACTGTAAGCACGCATCCAATTTTGATTGAGCAAAATGGGTTCAGACTTCTTAGAGGGGTTTTTTTTCCTTTTCTTCTTTTTAAGAGACAAAAAAGTATTGCATTACAAAATAATACAGTAAAGCCTACTAATCCCTTTTAACCTTTTTTTTTTTTTAAAAATGCACAAAACTGGGAGGAGTGACTGATGCCCCAGAATGCTATGTGGCCATTTAGAAGGATCTCAACAGACCTGAGAGACAGGTAGGGAAAAACCTTTTGAAATTTAACAAAGACAAGTGCAGGCTCCAAAACCTGGGCAGGAATAACCCATGCATCAGTACAGGCTCAGGGCTGGCCAGCTGGAAAGCAGCTCTGCAGAGAAGGAGCTGGGGGTCCTGGGGGATGAGAAGTTTTCCATGAACCAGCAGTGCCCTTGTGTACTCTTCTAGTCTTGATTAAGCAAAATATTTTGGCAGGGTTTTTTTGCTGCTCTTCCATGAAAAAATATTTTTCAGTATGAAACTGAAAATAAAGTTTACTACAACCATGCAGTCAAAACTTCTGCAAGAAGAAGCTAAAATGACACAGCCATTTTCTCTACTATATTAGGAAACTATGTGGCAATCTTTTGCCGTCATGCACTGTGGACACAAACTGACAAAAATGACAAAAAAGTTATAAAAGTAACACTTGCTTTGTAGAACATTTATCTATAGAATTTATATTCTACCAATAGGGGTAATACTAGTAAGATGTTACAAAAATTCACAATTGAAATGCTCAATTTTATACGCAATACAAAAATATGAGCATGAATGTATTTTCCTATTCTATATATATTTTTTTTATAATATAAGAAAAGCATGTCACATGGAATTTCAACTCCCTCATGCTACTGTACTAAGACAAACAATACTGAAATGCTTATATACAATTTTAGAAAACAGCAAGGTGGTGGGAAGGATGGAGAACACAATGGTCTTAATCCCAAAATCTTCAGGAGATTTCTTGCTTTGTAAAATGCACTGCTGCACTTTTCCTTTTCTCAGAATGCCAGACTCCTAATCTCCCATTACAGCACAAGGTGGCAACACAGCACCATCTGTTCTTTCAGGACAAAACCACTGAGCTCCCACTTTACTTAACAAGGGAGCAGGTAGGAACAGCGGGCATGGTGGGTATATTTTCACAACTTTTGACAATCACTTCAGAGACAGCATGTAGCCTGTCAGCAAGCCTGAAAACCTCACCCCAGAACTTCTCAGCAGCTTCACTAACACTGTGCTCAGAACAACTGAGTCAGCTCAAAGAATTCCCTTCATGCCCAACTTCCTACTGTCCAGTCTACCTTTCCATCAGCTGGCATCACCTTGAGCATGCAAGTATGCTTCACTGTAGAAACAAAAGCTTCTCAGATTCTTTTTAATCACTCCCAAGGCCAGACTACTTCCTCATAGCAGTATAACAGAAATGCACAACCTGCTCAAGAGAAATCAAACCTCTGACATCCACAGTACGTATTCCATGCAATGGTGAGAACAAAGCAGAAATAGTGCTGCCTGCCTATAGACTTAATTGAGGTAAGAAGGACCAGTACACTTCATACACTTTCTATAGACAGCCAACTTAGGCCATACAAATACAGTATCTGGTGGCCTTGGACTAAAGGCAGTCAAGTCAATTGCACACTACTTACTCAAATACAGATGACATGTCAGAATATTAGGATATTGCCTGAAGATTTCTAGCTATGCCAGCCATAAAACAAGAAGATTATAGCGTAAGGGCAAATTCATCTTTAAAGGGGAAAAAAAAAATCTTTCTCCTTCTATCCTGTCTGTGGATGACTCCCAGTACTTAATGCTCTTGTTTGAGTTCATATTTACCTTGTGAAATCCATCAGTGTGTTTAGATAATGATCTAAGATATAATAGTTCTCTGTATGCACACGTATATGGTAGCACAGATTCTTCTTATGGACATGGTGAAAGCCAGTTAGCCCATCTGACATTTTGTATACAGGAAAAAGAAAGAGCTTAAGAAAAATTACTGCTTACACATTTGAGTTTCAGACATCCCTTGCTGCTAGCTAGAAGAATCTCTATGAAAAATCTTACAGAAAATTCTGGAAGTTATGACAGGTAAGTGGTTAAACAGGAGTTTGACTCACATGCACTCAGGAAACTGGCAGTGCTTTGTATGTATGTAAATAGTGTTGGAAAATGGACAGTCCTTTGTACATATGTAAATAGTGTCACAAAGTTCAAAGGCAGAAAGGCTATACTTGAAGTTCTCACACATACATGAAAACTTGCAAGAGAGAAAAAGGTGGAGGGGGGCAATCTCAAATGCATAAAAAGCTATAACATTTATGAAGTTGAGTGTTAAAGAATTAGCACATTAGCATGTGAGGGAAATGTACAACGAGATGAGTACACAATGACAAATACAGCCCTCTCCCTTCCCCCTTTATATCTTGTACAGCTACAACATGGAAAAACAACACCACATTTTGGGCATTAATTTCTCACTCATGAATGAAGAAATGCCAGCAGCTGTAGAATTAAACAACCCCTTACCAAAAAACCTTGCCAGAAAATCTTGCTCCATGAGGTAGCATGAAAGAAGTGACTGGCTTCATTTGTGAGACCAAACACACCACATTGCCCATCCTTGGCAGCAAAGGTTTTCTTGTTGAACACCTCGTCCTAGATGAGGTGATTCGGCTAGCAGATGGGAGGGAATCGTAGCAGCTGTCTTCACACCAGCTGTCAAACAGATTTTGTTTTCGTAGCGCAAGTCACCACCCTTCTGCCTCACAGCTACGCTGCGAGGAGCCTGATCAATGTGGGCAGACACGGCAGTGAAAGAGGGAGGGGAAAAAGCAGAGAGGATGATGGTGGCCTGGCACAGAAGTTTATAACTAGAGGACAGTTCCATAAGAGAAGCTGAAGTGCAATGAAGTAATAGCTACACGAGGTTTCCAACTTTCTCTTGTGCCAATAATTTTACAATTTACTAGACATCAAAGTATATTTCTATCTTTTCTTCTGTAAAGACAGAAATTGTTTTCCTTCTTTCCCTAGTTGCTTATTTTCATGAAACTTAGGGAAATATTTTTTTCCCAGATTGCTACTTCTTTGTCATCTCTTATGGCAATTAACCAGTATGTTTAAAAGTCATTAGGAACAGGGTTAGATTCTCACACAAAGCAGGTTCAGAATAGACATACACATTTCCTTAGTAAAATAGACCAAGGATCCTTACTCTTCCACTTCCCATTTTCTTGAAGGGGAAAAACAGTAGGTGAAGATTACAAGATCACCTGACCAAAAGAAGACCCAAAGCAGGACAAAAAAGTCAACAGCCTGAAAGTACATACTTACATTTTGACCTTTGTGTACAAAGTCTAGGTAGACTAATTCAAATTTAAACATCCTCGGTGTAAAAAGAGGTATCCCACAAACAGGAACATCTCTGCAGGATGCTGGAACTTGAAGCACTTTGCTTCATCTCCTGATGCTCCTGCTCCACCAACAGCCAATGAACCCATAAAATTTGTTTCAATGCTGTTTGTTACTGTTCAGCACTGGCTGATGGTAAGATTAGTGGCAGCTCTCCTTCCTACTTTGCTGCCCCAGCCACTCTAAGGAGACAGAGGCAGCACACTAAAAAGACAGAAACCCCAGAATCTTGCTCAAATGGCCTGTCTTTGTAGGAATACTTATCAGATAGCAGGTGACCTATCCAATACTATCAGGACCTTATAAACTCACCTGGCATGGTTGAATAGACTTGCTTTTCAAAAGTATACTTTGTGTACATGGTCTCTAATACTGGTGTGCACAGAAAATTAACATCAAGTTGAAACTAGAACAGATAAAATTTTATTTCCTGCAGTGTTTAGGTAACACTGTTCTTGCATGGCAGAATACCTACAGTCTGGGAGCTGCTCTGTCCTTCAAAATTGCATTTCAGAGTGGGTAACATGATTATTTCAGAGCTACACAATGCTGCCACTGCCCAGCATTCTCTGTTTTGCACTCCTGTGAACTAATGTGAAAACAACCGTAACAGACCTTTATCTTGCCCTTCTTTGCTTATCTACATCACTGTGATGATTATGTATTATAGAGGGAAATGAAGCATCAGATCTCAGGTGTTTCACTGAGCACTAGCTTATTTTCAGCAAATAGGAAAGAGCAGGACCTGGTTCATAATGGAAAATCAGCTTCTGGAAAAAGCCATGCAGTTCTTTGTGAAGCTTTGTTCAAACTTTGTGCAAACAAAACACAAAAGCAGGGCCTACAAGCCCACTTCTTCCTGCAAACTAGCCAGTTGCATTCACTGCATTCAGAGTTGCATTCATTCTTTTATTTACACAGAGATCACACACCAAAGAATTTCATTAAACTATGCAGGATTCACAGCAGGACCTAATAAAGATGCTATTGCTTAGTTTAAAGGTTTGGGAGCAAACTGTTCCAGCCTGGCCTTATGCAGCCTCTGCATTATCCTTGAGGCTACCCTGCTGCTTTTCTCCAGAAATTCACACTGATCTCTGTGCAAAATTAATTCTCTTAAAAGCACTGAATGGCCCATAGGACTAAATAATCTATTACTTTTTTTGTTTGGCTAACCTTGAACTTCCAAAAAGTTGATAAAATCCAATTTTTTAGAGGCTGGCAAATACTTGCTATTTATCTGTTTATCAGGAAATTTGGAAACCTAATACAAAAGTGTAGCACATGCTTAGCAAGGGAGAGTTGTTTACTATTACAGTCCACAATGTGAAGTTCTACAATTGTGAAGTGTCAATACTACAAACATTTCTATGCATATTCACACATGTCAATAACTCTAGTGCTGGATGCAAAGAATGCAGCCTCAGAAATGTGACGGAAACAAGAATTTTTCTCTTTGGCATGAAGTTACTGTTTGAGCTGACTTTAATGCTGTATTCACCAAAACATTTTACTGTCAGATCATTCAATCAACTGTATAATATTTCTGCTTCTAAGCAAAGAAATTGTCACAAGATAGAAATCACTATATTAGAGGACGAGCACACTAGTCTGCAAGATATACAAATGCAGTGGACAAAAAGTCCAACAGATAAATAAGATAATTTAGCAATTTTAATAACCTTTAGTCTACAAGGAAGATGCTTTATGATTCATCCTTGGACATCTAAAAGTCAGATGCTAAGTAACAGGTTTGATGTCTAAAAAATACAAATGCTCACTACCCCTAAACATCTGATGATTTTTACTTTAATTCCTTTCTACAACCGCTGCTATTTGCAATGCACAGCAGATCTATGTAAAGCAAACTGCAATTGTAATTTCACTCCAAAATTGTATCCATTTTTTTAAAAAGCCCTGCCACAGCACATTATTTCTGTATGGGATTTGCTTAAAACAATTCAAAGAACCATAATTGGAAGGAAAATAAATTCAATTCCTGCACAAATGCAAATGTTTGACAATACTTACCAAGAGATTCTCTGGTTTGAGGTCCCTGTGGACAATGTTCTTGCTGTGAATATAAACCAGGGCTTCACACAGGTCAGTGATCATGACAGCAGCATCATGCTCTGTGAACTTCACACTTTCTATGATTGCATCAAATAAGTCCCCTCCTGGGACATACTCTAAGATTAAGTAGATCTCAGCCTCTGTCTCATACACCTCAATTAAGCTTACTATATTGGGATGAGAGAGACTCCGAATAATGAGGATTTCACTTTCCATCATGTCCTCCTTCCCCATCAGCTTGGATTTATCAACAATTTTCATTGCATAGATCTGATTGGAATCACAGTGGCGGCATTCCTTCACCACTGCAAAGTTCCCATCCCCAATAGTTCTGCCAATCTCATAGTGTTTTTCCACATCAGTTCTGCTTTTAATGGCGTGCCTCCGGCTTGTGCTTTCCAATCCCTGAGTTTTGTTGTCTTCCTTACTCACTCTGCGCTCCCCTGTTTTTTCTCGTCGAGTCACGTCACTCTCTCTACATGTGCCATTCCCCTCTCTTCTGGCAGCTTCCTCTTTAGCCCTTTGTCCCTCTCTGCCCTCTCTATGTGTTTTAGACATTTTCTCAGCATCTCTCAGAGTGTCTTTCTTTAGCCAACCGCTTTGGTGCATTACACAGCTACTTCCATTATCTTCCTTCACTTCATGAGATAGCTGGAGCCCTTCTACAGCGTTCTTCCTGATTTTTACTACTTCCTTCCCATGGTTTTCATGCTTCTCCACATCCCTTTCTTTCTCAATGTTCCTTTTTTGTTTCTCCAGCCCTTCATTAACAATCCTATGTAGAGGCTTCCACATCCTCCTACTGCCATTATCTTTCCAGCCAACTTCCTCACCCTCCAGACAGGTTTCGGGAGACTTTCGGCTGTTCCTGACTTTTGTATTTCTTTCCACGTGGTACCTCTGACACACACCTGTGTTCAAGTCTCTATTCTCAAATGAGGCCTCTGCCTGCCTTTCTCTCCGTAACTTTTCTCTGGCCTGCCTTTCCTGTTCACATTTCTCACACCTCAACACCTCCTCAGAACTGTCTTCTAAGCCTTCCTCAGGACTCCTCTCATGCTTAAGGTACCTTTCACATTCTCGTGTTTTTCTAGAAGGCTTCGCTCCATGCTCACCACCCCAGCTCTCTCTAGTCCACTTTTTTTTGGTTCTCATTTTTTCCTCTTGCTTTGTCTTGGTTTGACTTTTTCCTTCATGTCCAGCTACCAGCTGGGAAGACAAGCCTTCGCTGCAGTTCTTGGTCATTTCTGTCTCATCAAAGCCACTGTCTACTTTCGAGGCCTTGTCATACAGCCTGCTCTTCAGTTTTTGGGACTGCTCCTCATTCGTCTGAATGGCAGCACTGGCAGCATAAGGATTTTCAGGATAAAGTTCTTGTAATACCACCTCCAGGTCCTTCAAAGTGAGGGGCTCCTTCCCCATAGCTATGAACGCATCACCTTCCCGGAAGAACTCAGATACACTTCGGATCTCTCTACCTCTCAGATTGTACAGCTTTCTCACACGGTCATTCTTCCAACGAGGAAATCCCAGAGCTTCTGAAATGTCAGCCATCAGCTGCTCAAAGGTCTGCACTGATCTCCTGTTGAGAAGCAAGGTTATCCTCCGGAGCGTGCGTCCCCCAGGCTTCACCACTGTAATTATCCTTGGCTTCACAGGACTGTGCTCTGAATGTATCGTGTGAAAACCATTGTGGGGACTGAAAAATGAGGACCTGTGGCTGCTTTCACCCAAACATGGTTTTTCATAGTTTCCACGACCAACAGGAGGACAAGTCCCATGCAGCTTCCTCTCTTTTGCTTTTGAGCCTGTGTTGCGTGGTGAATGGTCCAACAAGCCTTGGCGTCCTAAGGCAAACAAAAAGCAGAAATATTTATCATTTTGCATCATCAAACCTCTTGCAGCAAGTTTTCTACGTGTCAGTGCGTGTGACCTCAGAGAGTAAGGGTAGGTGACTTCAAGGTTTATAAAGAACTTTTAAATACCACTAAGGAGTATGTCCACATGGTTGCAACTCCAACATTGTCAACTTCGTGAGAAAATCTAAATTCATTTTGTGACAGAAGAAGGTCATTAAAACATAATAATATTGAACAGAAAAAGATATTTCTTCTAAATCCTCACATCTTTCAGAAATCCTCAAAGACTGGCAGGATTGCATCCAGATTGTTTAGTATTCTCTTATTAATACATCTCCCATACACTCACTCAATTCCTTTCTGAACCCAATTGCAATTTTGGCCTCTGCAAACCCTGTGGTGACAAGTTGCACAATCACACTGCGTGAAGTAAGATAAACTAATTACTTGTGTTTTAAAATTACTACCAGATGGCACTCTGTATGCAACCTTACATTTTTATAAATAATTATCTCCTCTTCATTTTCCCTGGACCTTCTATAGCAAGTTAAATAAATTCTTTTTAAAAAACATTACTTTTGCTATAATTTTTACTGTAATTTTATAGGTCATCTAACTGCAATGCAATTTAACTTTTTGCCTTAAAGAAAGGCCATCTTATTTTTGTTTGATAATTGCAGTCATGGTTTTCAAAATTTTGGGTTGACTTTTTACACCTAAAAATTATGTGAAGTCACACCAAGTTCTGAGTATTCTCTGGGAACATTGACATTTCATCTTAGAACACCATCAAAGAAAATGGCACCATTTGTTACGCATAATTGCAAAACAGAAGAACTGAAAACATAACATATGGTTATGGACAAACCAAGCCATAACACAATTCCCTGTCTATCAACAATAAGCTCAGAATAAAAACGTCCCCCAAAAGTATTCTGAGCTGTTGTACTTGCTAGGATTAAAACCTGCTTGCAATGCATTTATTTTCAGCCTCAAGAAATGTACTTTCAGAATGAGATTGTAGAGTGTTTCCACCTCCATTTAATAGCCTTCCAAGGCCATTTAATAGCCTTGCTCTTCAGCTGGGAACAAACATTCAATATATACAAGCTAACAGGACTAGGACAAAAGGAAACAGCCAGAATCATTTAACGAATCATTACAAGGAAATTTCTGTACACCAATGGCTTATCCCCCAGAAAATCAGGTCCATTTTCGTAATTACTGTGATTCCATAGTCACAGTGCAGTGGCCAAATCCTCAAAGGAAAATCTGCACATATCAGCGTCTCTCTTGGTGTTAGGCTCATGCCTACTACACTTTGGGTTTCAAGTGCGAGAAGCCATTTTGGGTATTCCAGGCTACATATTTTTATTTGTCCTTTCCATCAAGGCATAATAGAGTGAAGAAGAAATACACCTCCTATCCTAGAACAACAAACAAAAGGGAAAACTGCAGAAATGCTGCAGCAGAGCATTCACTTGCTCTGCCTCAAAAAATACCCAATAGGCCAAGGCTTGAGTGTGGAAAGCACAGGAGGAGACACAGCTATAGAATCCACTCTGCTGTTGACTCTGCTTGATGCAGGATGATGGACACTTCTTGGTTTTAATACTCTCACCAGCTAAGCACTGTGTGCCCCCCAGCATGTCCCTTAACTCTTGGCTTCATTTTCTTCCCCTGCCAAATGAGATAGATGCTTCTTCTCCAAACAAATATTACAAAGAAGCCCAGCTGCCAGCATGCTGATTGAAGACGTAAGCATTATATAAGAGCTACGTGTGACTAATGCTTGGTGGTTGTACAGGTTATTTCTGTCTTCATTCTGCTTTTTAAGGATGATCTCTTGTTATCAAAAGATGACTACATACGTGTTAGTGATTTCTCAACATTCACGTATTTACATTCCACCCAGAATAAAGCTTGCTGTGAATGAAGGGAAAAAAAAATCAGCTGTAATAACAGTTCTCTGAAATCTAAATCAACTCCACAACATGTTAGTTACCAGGAACTGAGGAAGCTCTGAATTTAATCAACATTTCCAGGTTCTTGCGTACCAACTGCCATCAAAGCTTTATCTTGCTTATGGGAACTGTGAGTGACATTTTTACTGCTCATAATCTTGGCACAACATAAAAACAGTGGTGCACAAATAATGACTTTTCCCATAGATTATGTTGCTCCCGGTTATGCTGCTATTATCATATCTTTCTATAAACCATTGATTTTAAGTGCTTGGTTGTACTGTTGATTGTTTCAATTACCCAGGCATCAATTATGTTTCTGTTCTTCACTAAATTGGCTAAGCCTTAAGGAGAAGACAAGCTTATTTTTTAATTCTGTAACTAATGGAATAAGAGCAGTTTTATGTCATTATTAAGAACAATACAGGAATGCTTTGTTCTTTCTAAACTAACTTGATTCCTAGCCAAAAACACTTTTACAAAAGCCACAAGTTGATATATAACAATGTTCATTATAAGAGTAGAATTGCATATTCTTCTATGATGAGAAAGGAAGAAAGGAAATAACTGCTTAAATCATTGCATGAAAGAATCTTCTAATATTTTCCAAGAAAAGGGGAAGGGTCAAATTTTGTCAAAGTGGTGGTCACAATGACTATATATTACATACAATTAAAAATTCACTTCAGTTGCCTGTTACAACTATTTCAGTCATAATTTCTGTTATTTTCCAGTTATGCTATATTTAACTGATACACAAGAAGCAAGCCTCAATCTGTCAGGAAAGTGCATATGCTTAAAGCGGTAACAAGCATTTCTAGAAAGCCTTCAAAGGTCACACACATACCCAAATCCTATAGCTACAATTTATATTGCTTCAAAATCTTGTTTCCATATTTATATACAAGTGGGAGAAGGAGGAAGAGGGAGGTGGTATGAAAAACACACTTCAATGAGTTCAAGCACTGGCAAATTATACCTCTGTGAATAAAATGTGCTTTTTCTTTTGCTGTCCTCCTGAGAGCTAATGATTATTAAATATAAATATTCCTTAGAAATGTTAAGATGGATCGATGAGCGTGTCTGGTTTTGTCTGTATCACAATTTGTCTGTATCACATCTATCCATATATTCTAGTGTATTATGGATTATCAGTGGTGCAGCATGGCCAAGGAGGATGCTGAGGCTGCTGCTGTGGACAGGCAGGGGCAAGGCAGCACAGCTGGTGACCCTGCACACCACCTAAACTGTGCACATGGGACAGGAAAACAAAAACTAGAACCCATGGAGCAATATAGAGCTCCACATGATGAAGACATGATGGTCTTGTAGGGCAAACACTAACACCAACTCTCTAGAGAAGCATGGAGGATGGAACAAACTGGCATTTGGGGGCTCAAACATGTTGCAAAAACAAGAAATTTAGCACCTATGACCAAAGCACAGATGCTCCCTACTGAGAAAATGTGCCCCCCTGCAGGGAGCACAGCTTCTGTGACTCATTTTTAAAATTTACAAATCACTTGTGATCATCACAGTCCATCCCACTGTGGGGGTGGGGAGGGTGGGAAAACACCAGGAGAAATCACAAAAATTCCTCTAGAAGACATTTCCTTGGAGTGTTTTGGATCATATTCTGGACATGGAGTAAAATTAAATGAATTCTGAAGACTTACGCTCCAAAGAAGTAGGGTATACAGAGTAGTGTATAGATAGATCAACATCTATATCTTAAGGAATTGCCTGGCTACACCAGCTAAAACAGCAGAGTAACAGGGTTTGCCAGAGGTCACCCACTGCAACTAAAAATGTATTGCTGTCATTTGTCTTTCAAAACTTATCCTTTCCCTTGGCCAGTGCATAAGCTTTTGTTCATTAATTAAAATATTGCCACTCAGCTTGCATTCTTCTTGGCTCTCCTGCTGGAGATCACAGTTTCAGTAATTAACAGAATGGTTCACCATTCTGCTATAAAGTCACAGGTTGAAGGGGAATTAAATTTTTACAGGGAGTTTTACAATACAAAACAGAAGGCAGCAGTGAAAGAGGATCTAGGCAGAGCATTGCTGTGAATAAGATGGGGTAATTTGAGCCTTCCAATTTTTTTAGAAGGCTTCCACTTACAAAAGCAATTATAAAAATGCCCCAAAGCATTAGCAGCAACTAAACTTGCACATGACGGAAACCATGTATCTCGGGAGTTGTTTTGATATACTGGTCCAAATATAGGATAAACAAAACACTGTTTAAGTGGGCAGAGAAAGGTCAGCAGTATAAATACCTGTTTTTTCCTTAAGAAAATTCCTGCTGAGGGCATGAAAAACAAAGACCATGGGGGAAAAAAAAAGAGAATGATCTTACTTGGTACAGAAAACATTTGATTCATTTCACAGTACTAACAAGTATCTTCAAGTACTCGAGTATGAAGAATGCCTCTGGTACTGAACTCGGAGCAGCAGAGTATGCACCTCACACAGGTTACCAATGTGCATCAGCAGTCAGCTCCAGGATGCAATCCAAGTCCTCTAGAAATGTGCCATCTTGATCTCCTCTCCTTGCTGTAAATTATTTAAAGTTGCAACTTCCAGGGCTGGTGCACACTATTAGTGCCCAA